TTTTATTTATATTTTTAGTTAATAATATATAATTATAATTTTATAATTTTATATGATATTATAATTATATTATCACTAAAAAAATCAAAACAAAAATTACTAATCAGATGACACTTCTCATTAAGAAAAGTCTTAAGGAAATTCTATAGAATATTAAAAGAATTGATTGTTTAGTAATTTAAACTATATTAAATTGTAAATTATAAAACAGAGAAAATGAATGAAAAATAGTGCTCATATCAATTACTCAAACCTTATTTAATTGTAAATGTTATGTAATTCAATATAATTTAAATTGTCTAATATTTTTTTAACATTAAAAATGCAAATAAAAAAAAACTAATATGTTGACAAAAATATTCAGATCCTTTTAATCCTACTTAGATTTTGCTCATCCCAGAAAATTTCTCATTCTAAGCAAACAAATTGGCTATTTTTTCTCCTTCTGACTCTTTCTTTTACCTTTGGAAAATAAAAATTCCTTATTTTCCAGCAAAACAAAATTATTGTATCACTTGCAAACTCTCCATAAGTTTGCTGCTTTCTAACTTGGCCTTTCAACTTTTCAAAAAGCATCAAAGAGGCCCAAATGTGACGAAAATAGTCACATAGGTGATGCCTCATATGATCTTTAACTTTAAGGTCCAGTTTGATTAAAAGTTAATTGTATTGAAAATGTGGTTAAAAAAATATTATGTGAAAGGTTGGTAAATTTTTACAATAAAGTTTTATAAGAGTTTTATTGGATTGTTAATTTTTATTTATTTGATAAAAAATTAATAAAATTATTAAATGAGTTTCTTATAAGAAAAATTAGAGAAACCTTCTTTAAAAAAATAATAATGAGAATAAAATCTAACAAATAAAAAGATGTGTTAGAGAAAATAAAAAATGAAAATATCATGCTTATCTTTTATTTATTATAATTTTGAATCAAATTTTAATGAAACATACAAGACAAACCAGATGCAGGCATATATGTTTCTTTCTTGTAAATTATATGCTTTTAGTTATAATATTATGAGATATTATAAATTATAATTATAATATGTTATTATATAAGTTTTTATGAGACAAATTAATTAATTAAAACCCTTATGAAAGTATAGGATGAGAAGGTGGGAGAATGAGAGTTTAAATTCTAACCATACATGGGTGAAGAAACATTTATGTTTGTCAACAATTTGGCTAATTACCCTCCATAACTTCCTTATGAATCTTTTTTTTTTCTCTCATTGAGGGGTTTATCAATATAAACTATGGCATTGGAACTATAATAACAGGGTCTTTATATTTTCTACTTTTTAGCATATAGGTTGAGAGTATATATATTATATATTTTTATAATTAATTTATATAAAAAATATAAAT